TTTTTTTTCTATAATCTGTGTTTCACAAGTAGTCATTTTTCGTTATCTCTCATACAACTTTCTTTTTTTCCACTTGGTTATTGGTGGTGAATATTCAGGTGACCCAACAAATGACAAATGTCAAATGCCAAAAAATTGTGAAATAAAAATTTAGGTTTTAGGATTAGTTAGGTTAGTTTTCAAGTTATAATATGCTTATTTAAAATAGCAAGGGTTGAGTGGTAGAGCACCCTCGGGTGAACTCCCCCTTGGGATTTTTGTGTAACAAGATGAATATCATGCATTTTATTTTTCATTGGAAATAAAGACATTATTATTATTATTATTATTATAATCAAATATTACCGAAACATTCGGAAATATAAAATAAAATTTGATTTCTCAGTACAAAGTGAACGTCTTCGATCCAAAAACCACAACCAAAAATACAGGTCCGTATTTAAAAATCCAAAGTCAGATGATTCCCTATATAAAAGATTCATGGACATATTTTGATAGCTCACATCAAATGCCAATAGCAAAATGTGGACAGATTTTCAATATGTCTGCGAATAAAGAAGATATAGGCAAAAAAATAATTCGAGATTTTTTTGTTTTTTCTGTATATCTCCAGAACCAAAAGAGCTATATTCGATTTTTTCACATCATTGAATAGGTCTTCAAAATACGCAACTTTGCCACAATTCAACCGATACTCTATATCTTACAGTTTACAAGATTCCCATGTACAGAAACGAATTTGAATAGTTTTGTATATATAAATCGAAAATGAAATAACTTGTAGACACAACACTCCAAAAAGGAGGGGCAAACAGCGGACACGTGTTTCTGGCTATTGACCTCATCAGCGTGGTGCACCCAAGTACAAAGATGTGGAACACCTGGTTTTGGACTGTTGTGTCCATGAATTCTTTCATTTTTGATTTATATCATACACACTCGATAAAATCTATATCTGTATTTATATCCTGGTCCCAGATGTCATGCAGGTAGCTAAAGCTGACTAGGTGGTTATGGTAGATGTTGCCTAGGAATGCTAGGTCTTCTAATTGATACTTCCATATGAAAAATTGAAAGTGGTCTTATGAAAAGACACTGAATATATTGTAAAAATTTAACCCGCTTATATAATTTTTTTTATCAATTTATCCAATTATGATTATATTTTATTTATTTTTTGTTTCATGAAACAACGAATATTCGTCCTTCACTCTTTTCAAATGTTGGATTATTCAACTGAAAGTGAAATCACAAACGAATTGTAAATTGGTTCAAACAAAAAAAATTCAAAGAACAGAGGAAAAATTATAATGTACATATAGAAACACTTACAACTATTATCAACAATAGAATATTATACATAATCACATAAGTGAAACTTAGTTCCATTCTTCCTCTTCCCAACCTTCCTCATTGCTATCTTCCATACTCAAGGCAAGTTTACTACTGAATTTTTTTTCCAATGAGATATCATTGTCACCGGTATTGATGGGAAACTTATTCGACGCATCAATTACTGGTTCCATGTCCTGAAAGAAGTCAAAATCGTTGGTGTACACTGTATTCAACTGGTTCTTTATATCTAGATCTTGGATATCAGGAATTATTGTTTTTGACTTAATAGATTCCTTTGATATATTTTCAGCATTTTTCGAAAGATTATCTACGACTTTCATGTCATCACTTGTGATTGCAGGTGGACGATTACTACTGGAGTTTGTTTCATTAATATCCCAGTCTTCCCAGTTATCTAGGTCTTCTTCTACAGAAACCTCTACTTCCTCCGTAGACGTTTCTCCCTCTTCTCCATCTGGTCTTGGTCGCTCTGGAAGCTCGTTCAAATTCTCAATAGTTGATTGTGCATCTACACTACTCAAGCTTATCTGATCTACTTCACTGGATAAGTTGCTAGGATTCGGGATAATACTCACTGAATCTTGACGTTTCAAGTCTCGAGATAGTCTCCGATTCGAATGAGTTGGCAGGCCATCATTGAATAGCTTACCTCGTTTACCTCCGATAACTGTGGGAGCACCAAGTATCGGTACCAAGTCAGCCAAAGTTCTCAGCGTCATGGCAACCAAATGATCGTTAGTGTCCTTGATTCCAACCAGAAGCTGGAACATAAAGTTACTTTGAAAAATTATAGTTCATTAATTAATCCCTTTTTTAATCATTATTGGGATCTCATGTTTCAAAAGAGTAATTATCATCAACCACTTGTGAGAAAATAAAGGTTGCAATAAATAACAAAAAAGGATAATTCGCTGTATGTTAAAACTACCTCATAGATCAACATGTAGACCACACTTCAAGATGCTAGACATATTAACAGTTCCTTCAAACTATTTTCTGCAATTAGTCATGTTTGTCAAAAAGCATTATAGTATCTTCATGAGAAACTGTGATCTTTACTCAAACCAAATGACTATAAATACCAGACACAAGAATGAACTAAGCATACCAAGACATAATTCATCATTTTTTTGAAAAAGGACCGCATTACAAAGCCATAAAAGCTTATCAATCTCTCCCAAGAGAAATTAGAAATACAGAAAACCACAACAAATTCAGACTCTCAGTCATTGATTATCTAAAAACCAAAGTGTATTATAGTTTCGACAGTTGGTGATGGGTCTCTATGCGATTGCACCATAACTGAGTACTGCGCAAAATTCTTTTAAAAATTCTTTCAATAGTCCTTCTTAAATTATCCAACATGTAATGTTGACCAATTATAAAAATTGTGATATGGGAACTGTAGTTGTAATAAATATCACCTATTGCAAATCTTAACCCATTGACGACAATGTAGATTTATAGGAAGGATATTACTATTACTATTATTATTGTTACTATATTATCATTCAACCGTCTTATTTATTATTGTACTGTACCTTATTATACTATTATTATCATTATATATAACAAATATTGTAAATATCAAAACCTATTGACGTTGCCCTGTCCATTGTAGATTTATATGGCAATAAAGGATATTATTATTATTATTATTATTATTATACTGGGTGACAACGAAATAATTGTACAAAGCACCATTGAGTTGTTTATGAGGTAAGAAATTTGAAATTCAGAATAAAGAAAGAAAGGAAAAAAGAAATTTTATTGACCTCAAATTACAATTCTGTTACATTCAAAAATATCTACAATAACAAAATTTGCTTAGGTACGTCATACTAAAAATATAAAAAATATACATAGAGTACATATATTTATGACTCACAATATACATACACATATACACACATACCCACACATATAGGTACATATATTAGGTCCACTGACAATTGAATACCTCATCAATCTTATAGAAGCCTTGGTTGACAAGTGAATTTTTTACTTTGAACTTCAATTCTTTGATATGAAAGTCTTTCCACTCACTAGGCAAAGTGTTATATATTTTTATGGGAAGAAACTCCGTTTGTTTTGCTGTGTTTTGATAATGCATCTTCGGTAGCCTGATGATATCTTTGTGTTTTGTATCATAATTGTGAATCCTGGAGCCACTATTATATTTATTTTTATGTACAAACTGTACTGCTTCTAGGATATACATGGAAGGTAATGTAAGTATGACCCATTTTATAAAGATTGGTTTAGCATGGGTTCTGGAATCAACTTTTTCTAAATCTCTCATTACCTTTTTTTGGATAATGAAAACTTCACTTGCATGTGAGGAAGCCCCCCATATCAGTATTCCATAGTTTATGTGGCAATGAGCCATGCCAAAATATGCACTTCTCAGCACTTTGCGTAGCGACACCTTGAGAACTTTTTACATAATGATGTCGTATGTCCACCTTGTTGTCAAGGTGGAATCCTAGTAGACACACCATAAAGGAGTAGTTCATCGATCCCGATATTTTCAATAATGAAACACCGAAAATGAACCCAAGTAAAAAATTTCAAATAGAGCCCTGTATATTTTTTGGCCCATTTGTTATAACACCTATGACTATTTCTATTCAAAATTGCGGCGAAGGAACCATTTCCTCCAAATCAAATATGGCGGCACTACGACGTCATCACGGAAAAAAAATTGTTACTTCAAAGAAATTTATTTAGTCTACTTTAATTCATCATTTTGATCAAATATCATTCATTCCAAACGACGTGTGTATTGTATCGATTAGATGATAATTTTGCGGAGACAAAATGAAGTTCTCATTTTAATTTTTCTAATATTTCAATTCAAGAGGTCTTTTACTTAGTCAAATGAATTGTGGGTCATTTCAAGAATAAAATTTATTGAGTTCTCAAAATAATTCGGTTGAGTCAAATAATATAATTCAATCAAATCAAAAGTACGTCTGTTGAATGAAAACTTTCCAATTCAGTTTAGCAGTATGGTGTGCTGTTTTGACACTGATATATAATTGAATCAGCTAAATATTTATTTTAACTTCAACAATACATATCAATACAATTAACTAATTTTGGAAATAATTTCCCTCAACATACAATCTGTTCGCAACAAAACCGATGAACTTTATATCTTACTTGAACAGCAAGCTTTTCCACAATTAATCCTTCTGACAGAGCATTGGCTGAAGCCTGATGAACCTCTCCATATTCCGGGGTACCATCTTCTGTAGGACCAATTATACAGTGCTAGTCAAAAGTCCCCTCCCCCCCTCGTATCTTTGGAATGGGTATACTTATAATAATGAAATTTGGAGGGTGGAAATAAACGGATGTAGGCTTCTTAACTGGTCATAACAGGTGACGCAATAGTCATAAATGACGCCACTGTGACCAAAAATTTTAAATGGGACCCTATGGCAAGTGACAGCTCGTTTGAAAGGTATTGAAAATACCTATATAGNTTGGTCACAGTGGCCTTGTGACGTCATTTATGACTATTGCGTCACCTGTTATGACCAGTTAAGAAGCCTACATCCGTTTATTTCCACACTCCAAATGTCATTATTAGAAGTATACCCGTTCAAAAGATACGAGGGGGGAGGGGACTTTTGACTAGCACTGTATACATGGTGGCACAGCCATATTTGCTCATAATTCATTACAGGAAATGTCGTTTGTTATAGCAGAGGAATATTGTGATATGCGAGAAGAAAAACAATTTGAAATATCTATAGTACTATAGAAAAAAATAAATTTAATAATTGCTTATATTTACAGGTCACCAGTGTCAGATATCCCTATATTTCTAGATAAATTAGAACATCTCCTATCAAAATTTCAATTAAACGCTAACATTATTCTAGCTGGGGATTTTAATATCGACTACAAAGAGGAATCCACAATCTGTACTCAAAGACTAAAAAATATCTTTGACTCTTTTGGCCTAGTCAATTATGGCAAACAAACAAAAGTAGCAAAAAGACATCCAAAGATAGCAACTGGGCGGACACAGTTGTCTCTTTGGAAATAGAGGATGTCCCAAGCAAGACAGAAAATAAAGAATTTCAACTGCTGCAAGAAAAAATATTAGTGAAGTGCAGTGAAATTATTCACCTGAATGACGATCTTGAAGTTAACCATGACAGCAACTCCAGTGATAATGATTGAAAATCAGTCTCTTACAAGAAACACATAAATAAAAAAATTGATGGGTCACCATTTCCTCCTAAATCGTATGGCACAGGGCAACCGAACAACCTACTCCCAGTTGCACCAAAAAGAAATTGGATTTGGATTGGTGGTCTTGATCAGTGCACCACCCTTGAAAATGTTAAAGGATATTTGAGGGAAGCGTTTCCAGATAAAAGCATTGACTGTTTTGACCTGAAATCTAAATACAAAAAGAAGTGCTTTAAAATAGGAAGTTTCGATTTATCTTTGGACGAACTTCTGGATCCTGATAACTGGCCCTCTAATTTATCTATACGTCCCTTTCACGATCAGTGATCAACAATATGCTACATATATCACATCCAAAATCTCTGCTGATGGTAACTCAGGGGTTTTATCCCATAAAAAACAAAGTAATAACTATTCATTAAAAATACTTCAATTTAATGCACAGTCAGTGACTAATAAAATTAACAAATTGGAAGTTCTCGCATCAGAAGAGATACCGGACATTGTTGAACACTGGTGTGATATTGAAAATATTGAGTTCATGTCTGTACCTGCTCATGAAATTGTATCAAAATTTTGTCGCTCAACTCATATACATATGCTGATGATATCTTTGTATGTGGTGACTTGAATGTCAATTACCTAGAAAATACTACTGAAAAGATCCAATTAGATGAACTACTACTCATTTTCAATTTACAAGTGACATCTTTGACTCCTACTAGAGTTTTTACCAACCAGTCAGGGAAAACTTCATCTACTAAAGTCGATTACATACTAACAAACGTTGAGAACATGTTTTGCAAATCTAATGTTTATGAAGGTAGTTTCAGTGATCACAAAGTATTCACAGTTTCTTATTATATGCCATTAGAAAAATCTAAAATTGTTGAACAATCTTATGTTATGTATAGAGATGTATCGGAGCATAACTTGAAACAATTCTCCTCGACATTGTCCAAAACCAGTTTTGATGTAATATATAACAAAACTGATATAGACGAGAGCTTTCTGGCCTTCATGAATATTATAAGTGATGCTATCGATAAATGTTGTCCGACCAAAAAACACAAATCGTCCACTAGTAACAAACATAACTGGATAACTCCTGAAGTGAAACAGGCCAGTCTTGATTTGAAAAAGTATGCATTGCTTATGTAAAAATACAGGCAACGAAGATTCTCGTGCTGCATACAAAAAAGCGAAGAAAGACTATGAATCATTAATAAAAGCTTCAAAGTTGAATTTTTACGAAAATGTAAATAAGAATTCCAACAATAAAAATAGAACAGTTTGGAATCTAGTCAAAAAAGAAACGAACAGAAAAAAAAACCAAAACTCTCAACTATAATAATAAAGTAATCACAGATAGAGATCATGTTGCGAACATATTTGGGGACTATTTCTCTTCAGTGGTAGAAAATAGCTTAGCAGACCATTTTGGCGGCATTAGATCATCCGTATGCACGATTCCTGGAATTGAATCGAATACTTTTTTCTTTATGCCCATTAACGAATATGAAATTGACGCAGTAATTAACAGTCTAACAGTACAGGAATTGATAATATATCAGTGAGAATTTTAAAAGAAATTAAGTTACACATTTCGAAACATTTAGCGTATTTGTTGAATCTATCAGTCGCAAGTGGCAAATTTCCTTCAATTCTAAAAACAGCCATGATCATACCAGTTCATAAGAAGAACGATACATCGGATATTACAAACTATCGCCCCGTGGCCTGCTAAGCATTTTCTCAAAAATATTTGAAAAGGTTGTGAATGAGAGAATATTAAGATTTTTATCAAGGTTTAAGATCCTGTCCGATTCTCAACATGGTTTTTGCAAAGGCAAGTCCACTCAATCAGCTACTTGGAGATTCTTAGAAATCATATACGCTTCTTTAGATAGTGGTAAGCATGTTGCAGGAGTATTCATCGATCTGTCACGTGCGTTCGATTGTTTAAATTTTAAATTCATCGAGAGCAAATTATCTAATCTAGGATTTAGAGGGGACTTCCTAGAATGGATCATTGACGTTCTTACAGATCGTATGATGTTCGTCAAGATTAAAGATATGAAATCAGACTATCATGATAAATGTTCTGGAGTTCCTCAAGGCTCTGTGTTAGGTCCGCTGATCTTTCTGTTGTTGGTAAATGATCTGCCTACTTATTTCACCTGTAATGAATATGCTCTCACTCTTTTTGCAGATGACACGTGTTTAGCTGTATCAGCAGAGAGTCAGGAGGAATTAAAATCAAAAACAGAGGAATTAATATCACTGTTTTTAAATTGGTGTGAAATGAACAATCTGATTGTAAACTTGACCAACTGTAAGATTGTATTCAAGCACAAATTTTTTTTCATGTTTGTGATTTACATACCTCCATGTACTAGCGAAGCTCATTTTCTGAAATTATTTGAAATTCTAGTCACTTGAATGTTTATACAATAACAAAATTCTCATTACAGGTGATTTCAATATACCAAACTATTCAAACGAAAATCTCATAAATGGGAATCACAACTTGGACAATCTCCATCAATTCAACAATTTTTATGATCTAAACCAGGGGTCTCCAAACTACGGCCCGCGGGCCAAATCCGGCCCGCTAGTGTCATCAATCCGGCCCGCGACAGCCAATTATTACCTAATTGTTACTATTGCTGTGATAAGTTGAAGAAGAAAACACAGAATGATAATTACTCGGTTTTATTTACTTTCAAGGTAAAACTCAACGACAGAAATGATGACAAAGAAAACTTAAGACAGAAATGATGACAAAAAAAACTTAACTTAAGTATCTAAGTTTAAGCATATTAATAACTAACAAATAATTGAAATGAATCACAGTAAAACAAAAACACTTTCGCTTCCTTCGTCTTTCCTACGCAGACGAACTCGCAGTTGCGCCGCTAGCCTTTTTATATGCAATTATGACTGCCATCTCGAGGTGATCGGAATACACTAGCTAGAACCAGAACTTTCTCGAACCAACGCGGTAATTCCAAATATTTAATTACGCCTAATGCCACCTAGCGGGTAGCTGAAAAATATAGTACATAGTACCGCTACTCGCCACTAGATGTCGTTAAGTGTCACAATACACAATAATAATTGAAATGCAAAAAAGAGTAAGTTTGCTTAGGTCACGTACTTTGCGACTATCCTAGTCTAGAAATATAGTTAAGGGCAGAAATTGGCCCTTGGAACAAACTGAAAAAATCATTATGGCCCGAAGGCTTCAAAGTTTGGAGACCCCTGATCTAAACCACTTCAATTCTCTGCTTAGTATTTCAAATCGTTTACTCGACCTTGTCTTATCTAATTTTCAATGCTCTGTATCCCACAATGAACTACCCCTTCTAACTGAAAATGGCTATCACCCAGTACTGAATATAATTTTTGAATACTCATCACCAGAACAAGTAATACCATATAACTCATCAGAAAGCAGGTATAACTTTTGTAAATATAAACCACATAAATATTTCTATTGATGATGAAAATATAAAAGTGCATAATACTGTAAAATACTTAGGGTTTTAACTGGACTACAATCTCACATTTGAAGAACATTTTCAATACATACATAAGAAAATTTCGAAAAAACTATATTTTTACTCTGAAATTTGGAAGCATCTGTCTTTAAACACAAAGATATTAGTCTATAAAACAATTATACAACCACACTTTGATTATTGTGCTTCGATTATATACTCTTTCAATTTGAACAAACAGGCACAACTACAGAAACTACAAAATAGAGGAACTATATTGAGAGAAAACGGATACACTCCCATAATTACAATGTTAACAAGCCTAAATTGGCTTTCGGTATCCCAGAGACTTTTATACCAGACAATTATATTTGTGTATAAAATTGTTAATGATTTAACTGGAACATATCTTTGAAAATCTATTTGATTTATTATGATATTCACAAATATTACACTAGACAGAATCTTGACATACATATACATAGAACTAACACCAAAATCAGTATGAACTCAGTATATGTCAAAGGTTTTGATATGTACAACAAATTGCCTCATTCAATTGAATCATCTTCAACTTTAAAAAGGTTTAAAACTGATCTACTGCATCATATTTATAACAAATGTAATTGAAGGTATTACTAATAAGATAAGTCATGATTTTTGAAATATTAATCAATTATTCGTTAGTTATAATTTTGTTATTGTATATTAGGAATGTATCCTATTTACCAAATAAATGTTATTATTATTATTATATAATTTCAGAGGATAGGATAGTTGGATTCTTTCCTAAATTCGAATAACTGAAGTGGTATGCCATCTATTGTGTACCGATAGAAACTAACAGTGTATTAACCTTAACTGGATTGAACGAAATGCATAGATTGAAAGAGATCTACCATCAGACGTATATAGTGTACATCTATACTGTCGTCAAGGTTTTCCTAAACTGTGGTTACGCAATTTCCAATTGTCCTCATATCAAAAACAATCGAATATCTGAAGGATCTTTTAGAAACGAACGAAATATGTGGTGAAGTAGTGGAAAAGTACATCCAGCTCACACAAATGGCATAAGACAAAATTGTTTCCAGTTCAGTATCTGTTTTTACAAATATCATGAGCGTACGGCAATGCACAACCTGTTTACTCAGGCTTGTTCATCAAGGACACCAATGCATTTGTGGTTCAGCCTAGCTTTGTATTTGGGAGTTTGGGACCTGGTTTTTAACAACTTTATAGATGCCTTTGTAGATTAGGTATCAGCTAGGTAGTAAATAACAACTAGGAATTATTCGATGACCCTCATCATGCAAAGTAGTGATTTCTCTAGATGCATATAAAAACATCAATATCGTTGCTAAGAAGTAGTTTTAGTCATCTCCTGATGTTGATAACTTGGTTAGTGAAACAAGCGTTGAGAGATAGTATTTTAGCTCTGGTGAAGGAAACGTGTTTTCATTTGATTTAGGAGAGCTTAGTTTTTAGGATTGAAAGCTTTTCCCTCAATGGAGACTTCATTTCAATACTCTTCCATACATTACGTTTTGAATTGCTTGCTTGTTTCAATTCCATTATGATTATTTAGTGTTTAAAATAAGACCCCCTCGCCTTGCCAACTAAAACAATTAGAAACTAGCAAGGGGGTCCAAAGAACTCCACAGGACCCACATTGATAAGTCTAGTAATCAAACTAACTGAATCATTGGAATTCGTTATACCTTCGACACCAGGACTTTCAGATTTGTACTTTTAATTCAGTTTTACACTAAAATATAAATTCAACTGGGGCAAATGTATCTTGATGAGTATGGGCAGAAAGTCGTAGTGGTAAAAATGAACGTATTAATAAGAATTCTTTCTCAGATGATTAATAATATACTTGTAGTGTATTAGGAAAAACTATAGAGTATGCTCCTGTACTTCGTCAGGTAAAAAAAGGCTCCCGGGCCTGACTGTATTGCAGACAAAATATATAGTTAGTCAGTAATAAACGAGCAGCATTAAACACTTGTTTGATTATAACCCTAAACATAACAATACTTATTCAAAATATTTTACCTCTGGCAAAATGAAAGACTGCAGTTCCTCACAAGTGAAAATGTGCATGAAATTGGAAAAATGATACAGCAGTAATAAACGAATTTGAGCATCTCTGACTCTAAAGATCTCCAACAGTTTTGGGCATAGATACTGCTTGAAGGTTTCCTCAGAAAAAATACATTTTGGTTTTCCGTCCTCTGGTTTATCTTTAAAAATAGAGTAATATATTGACAATATATTTTTGTATTTAAGAATTGAATTCTTACCTGATCTTGCCATAAGCAGAAGTGGTAGTAAATTCTCTTGGGCAGTTTTATTAAATAAAACCAAACGTGATAAAAGTAATCCACCAAGTTGAGAAGCAACAACTAACTCGTCAAAGGATAGGAGTTTTACCCCTAAGTTTTGGAAAAACAATTTTTTCTCTTCATCATTCTTCAATGGAAGTTCCATCAAGAACGAATGAATCTGTATAAAATCATGATTGAAAAATTCATGTTCCAATAGTGACTTGAAATTTGGTCTCCTGGAAATGTCTGTGTTTTGCAATTCATTTTTACAGTAGTCACGAAAGGATGAAAGTGTTGATATTTCATCTGAAAACAAAATAAAATCAACAGTATGATAAAAATTTAATTTATCAGAATTATAATAACTTTTTAGAGAATAAGTTTTTAGTTCCTGAATTCACGAATTCTCTTCTTTGTTTAACCCATTAACGTCTATAGCTACCATATGAATCCAACAGACGGGGAAGGGGGTGTTGAAATGGGCAATGACAGTTAGTTGAGTAGTATGAAATTATTATCTCAGAAAAATGTAATCGAAATTGAGAAGTTTTCTTCGAAACTGAAAGAGAAATCGAGTCACTTCCTGACGTTTCGATCAGTAGTACCCTGTTTTAGAGAGAACTAAAATTCTTATTGACAAAGCGTATCTTATGTTGATAGATAAAAAATAGACAGATAACAAAACATATCAGTCATGAAAATTAAATGTAAATAATTTAAAACAAAATAACAAATCTATTATGACAAATGTTGAAATATGTCCAGTAGTAACCAAGACATTCTCCAACAAATAGGTATTTAGTTGAAAGGGATTGAAAAAACATTATTTTTTTGAAGGAGGGATAAATAGATATTTCTTTGAATTATACTGTCAACGGACACATTGCACCCTTCAATAAGACCGACTTGGCTTTTTAGCGGGGTTATTCTTGATATTCTTCAGTTTACTTCGAGAGCGCGTTGAATAAACAGCTATACAACATGGAAGCTAGTTGCTCGGGAATCGTGAAGCGTCCGAAATTGTCACCATTAAATATAAATGGAAAAAACAAGTGTTAAATTGAGAATACAATATCCGCCCGAAATAAAAAGTAAGGAGGAAGTAGTGCAAAAATGCGCGAGTATGACCGGTATCAAGTATCCACTGGTAGAAAGTGTTTGGTTATCGATGAAGAAGTGAAGAATTCTATTAGGAAAACAGTACACTCTTTTTGCATAAAAAAACGAAATACCTACATTAAATAAAGTTTTTTCAGTTATTCGTGAAGACAGTTTTTTTTCTGATATAAGAAGAACTCGAAAATGGATGATATTACATGAGCAGAATTTCAGTTTTGGAAAGCAAGATAGAAAGAGCATGTTAACAGAAAAATCAGAGATTGTAGAATGGAGAAGAAACTATTTAAGAGAAATAAAGAAAGAAATTTGGATAAAACATGGGTCAATGAGGGTCATACGGTCTCGAAGGTTTGGCAAGATCAGAATATCAAAAGTGGAAGACAAGCCTTTATGGAAGGTTGGTCCACTGGTTTGAAAATTCTAGTTGGAAAAGGTCGTCGTCTTATTATCACTCACATAGGCAGCAGTGAAGGATTCGTGAAAGATGGATTGATGGTGTTTGAATCGAATTGATTATCATCAAGAAATGGATGCACAGTATTCGAAGAATGGTTTAAAAACATACTTGTAGAACTTCCGCAGGGATCCGTAATAGTAATGGATAACGCAAGTAACCACAGTAGACGAGCCGAGAAGCTGCCGACGTCGTGTTGGAAGAAAGCAGATATTACTGAGTGGTTACAAATGAAAGCTATTCCTTTTTTTATTTATTTTATTTATTTGTATTTATTACCCATACAGTCCATTAAAGACTAATTACATGGATAAACTGTTGGCAAATACACTACAATGATAGCTATTAAATATAGATCTAGATTATTAAACTATTACTTACTGATACCAGACTTGTAGGGAGTCGTCCATAACTGCACTGACTGGATTCGTCAAATATATGTTTAGTTTGACAGAGTTGAATTCAATATTTGTTCCAAAATTGTTTTACGAAAAACTGATAGAGGTAAGGTCCAATCTAAATCCATAAGTAGATTGAAATTGTTAGCTAATTTAATCATAGCTAAAAGAGGTGCTCTCGATGATGTACATATTGCAGAGGTATTAAACATTGGTGTGGAACGTATACACCGTGGAGGTACATTAAATGGAAGCATATTGAGGATTTCTGGGGAATTTGTTAAATCGTTTATTAATTTATACAGGAATATCATTGATGTTAAAGTTCGTCTCTGGTCTAAGGATAGTATCTTGAATTCCGATCTTAATTGATATGTCCTGACGGTATTATAATTAGGCCACACGTGGTACTTTTTAAAATACAAATATCTCAACAGTTTGTTTTGTACTTTTTCCAAATTATTTAGATATGTTTGATATTCACCGGACCAAATAATTGAGACATATTCTAGTTTAGGCCTGACCAGAGAATAATATAATAATTTAATGGTGTTAATATTGGCAAAATTCGATGTTTGTCTGATAACAAAACCTAAAATACGATTAGCGGACTTAATCATGTTATTAATGTGAGTGGAAAAGTTGAATTGTGAATTATAGGTAACACCAAGATCCTTTATTTCAGTTTTTCTCTCTAGGATCTCTCCCTTCATTTCATATTCAAACAGAATTGGCTCTTTAATACGGGTGATTGAGAGTACAGAACATTTTTTTAAATTGCAATATAATTTATTTCTTAGACTTTTGAATCGACGCAAGGAATAATAAGACCTTCAAGCTGTGGGAAGTAAAGAAATACCTATACAGTGCTCTGGAAAAAGTCGACCAAAAAGTTTGGGAAAAATGTATCCACAAAACAATCAGAATCGAAGCAGAGATATAGGATCTGGATGATCGCATAGACTCATCATCAAAAAAAATTATTCCAGTTGTCATCAATCGTAATGAAACTGATTCATCCAGTGAAGAATCACTTAACGAATCCCTGTAGACTTTTTTCAGATTAAAATTATCGCAATGTCTCATTCGAAGTAAGTATTCCCATTAAATCTATAAAATTGTTTCTGAATCAACTATAAAATCCACTAAGGAATATGAATCTTCATTTCCAAACCAATAAGAATATATAAAGTGTATCTCTCAGTGCAGCCACACTTTTCTACTTCCTGAAAATGTCAAAGTCGAAGCCGAAACGTCGAACAACGCAAAATTTTGAACGTGGTTCAACTCGAAATCAGATGTTCAAATTTCTAACCGCGGAAATCTATTCTATTTGTATACTTATCTGGTGATGTTTCGAATACTTTAACCATCTTCATTATCATACCGACGATCAATTTGATATTACCATTGTCAATGATAATAATAATAATATCAAATTTATTTACATCAAAAGACTAATCATGACTACAAATTATAATGTTTTGATTTAAATAGGTCGGATAAAGAAAATCGATAGTTTAAAATGTCACCAGATGATACATATTTCTTTTAATATGCAAAATTAGATTTTTTTTCCAAAGAGCTAATTTATCTAATGCAGTAACTTTTTGCCCTTCCTACTTTTGTATTTATATATTTTAATTATCTTCTCATCATACAGAATACCCCAGTCCGACGCCTATTAATATTATCTTAAACGTAATATTAGAAAAAACATCGAGCGGTTCTTTTGGCGGTATTTTCGCATTCTTTGTCGGTGTTTTCCCGTTCTTTGTCGCATATCCCTATTTTAATGGCTCGTTAGCGGCGTCCTCAAGGGATATAGAGGGTAGACATATCTCAATGATTTTGTGGGTGAATTGCAGTGCTATTTGCTTGAGACGACTATGTTTCTTTCTTTGATGTAGCGACATGTTTGCATTCTTGAAATTCTTTTACTCTCAGACAATACTGAACGAACTCTACACTAACACAAAATTCAAAATGTTTCGTTGAAAAAGTCAACAACGCAGTAGTATGGTTTTTTACTGGGTAAACATGCTTTTTTAAAAGCAAGATTGTTGAGCTTTTAATTTTCCTTATTTCCAGTGGTAGATTGTTATATATTTTACAATCATTGTATATAAGAGTCTATGACGAAATTGGAGGTTGGAATAGGTAGGTAATAGTTTGGATCGCTTCAAAGTTATTAATGAGTTTTCATATCTGGTATGCAGTTTTCAATTTGAATAATGCTACTACTGTTAGAATTTTATACTTAATGGGCACTTAGGAAAACAATGTAAAAGTAAACCACGCTGCATTCAATGTGGCGAACAGCGTAGTTCTTCAGACTGTCAAAATTCTAATCCCGATCCAAAATGTTCCAACTGCGGTGGATCTCACTCAAGTACAAATATGGAAATATGTCCGGAATTCAAAAGGCAAAAACAACTCAAACAAGCAATGTCAATTGAATAACCCAAACTAATAGGAGAATTCCACGTTACAACCTAATACATCGCATCAAAGATCAGTTATTGAACAATCTTTTACTCCAAATCAATTTCAAAATGCTCAACAAACTCCTCACTTGCATAAATCTTACAAATTACATGACAGAGAACTCCTGTAAAACGCTTAAGACCATCCAGTCCAGATCCTATATACGAAGCACACAGAAATATAATACATCCTATACCAACACACAATAAAGAAGGGGGATCCTTAAAAAACCTGCATATTTACGAAACATATATCAAAATAGCTCAAACATTTAGGAAATTCCTAATCTTACTAACATTATTTTAGAATTAGAAAACTTCGAATAATTTTGATATTCACGAATCAGACCTTGTAAATATAATCAGTAAGCAGTTTAATGTAAATGTGTCATCAAATTCGCACCCCCAATGGATCATATCAAAATTTGTCAATGGAATTGTCGTTCCGCGACTGCAAATAAATGAAATTAGAATATCTTCTTGCTCAAAAGCAAATTTCACTTGCCGTACTTTCAGAAATGTGAACATACTATAAATTCGCGGGATATAATTCTATACGGAAAGACAGAAACAATGGTAAAGGAGAAGTAGCCATATTAATTAAAACAAAAATAAAATATGAAGAAATCAATCTAAATAACTCGATTAATGAAAAAACAGATTTTTTTTAAATATATCAGCCATAGCTGCGTCAGCAAATATTTTACCCAACCATAACAAAATTCATTTAATTTCACTTTACGTTAAACCCCAAACATACATTAGTAGTCAAGAATGGGTTAAATTTTTTAATGATATTCCAAAACCTTGTTTCATAGCAGGAGACTTTAATGCAGATCACATGGC